CTCTGTTTAATCTGAAGCTTTGCTCTTATTATCAAACTGATTACGGGGGTGATTTTATTGAAAATGATATTAAAATATTTAACAGTATCACAGATACGCAGTGCACCTCGTGGGTCAACAAGACGATTTATCACATTAAAGTGTAATTTGACTGTAAACCAGCCACAGCTGATAATAAAAAATAAACGCTGTTCCTGTGTGTCCAGGTGAGGGCGCTGTTTCAGGAGTCTCCGTTCCTGTCCGGAGACGACAGCGTGTCCATCATGGACGGCAACGATGAAGGTACGAAGTTTTACGGCAGCTGGAACAGATATTTATGATAAAACGGCACGAGCTGACGGTCCGCTCGGAGTTTATCTGTCCGGCTGCAGCGTCCTGTTCCGGTTCGCTCTCAGCGCCCCCAGAGCGTCGCGGTACAGCAGACAGACACAAGCCTTGGTTCCATCGAATTGTTGAATTTTAAGTGACCTTTTGAAATGAAAATGCGTGTTAGGTGCGTTTCCATCAGCTGGTTTGGAGCGAATCAACCGAGCGTAGTTTTGTCAGAAGATGACGTGCGGCTGCAAACCAGAAACAAAAGCAGTTGCACGGACCTGAGGACACGGAGAGAGGACTTGTTCCCACGCGATATGAGAATATCTGAAAACCCCGACGGCAGAAACAGCTGATCAACGTTCACTACAATAGATCTTATTGGACAAAGTGTTTCCATCTCCCGTTTAGCACATTGACTCTCTCTGTTTTTGAATGATGCGTTTCCATCGACATGTTCTAAGGCGGTACTTCAGAATACGTAGAGGGAAACACGATCACAGAGAGCAGCTAGTGAACGTAGTGGCAGCTACAGAGGCAGATCTCTCCCTCAGCAGCTCACAGAGAACCTGGACTCACCAGGAAGCATCACGGAGATCTGCGGAGATCCTGTAAACTACCTCCAGATGATGGTACGTTACAGAAACCAGCATCTTCCCACTGGGGCCAACTGGACGTTGGTCAGCATTAATGTAAATGCAGCTGAACGGTCCGGAGTTTGAGCTGCCAGTCTCCTGGACGTGACGCTCACCTTCATACGTCTCTTCGTCTCCTCATCCTTTCATTTGCTGAACAAGCAGCTCAGATGTTTCTCCTCCTCGTCTTTCACTGCACGGAGAAACATTTCCCCAACCGACACCGGCAGTATGGAGGATTAGAAAGGAGCTCGAACAGGAGGCAAGGGTCGTTGTGTCGCAGCCACAATTTACCGTCAGCAAACATCGGGTTGGAAATCTATACCAAATTTCAAAGAACTGTGGACCCGTTAAGACCCGAGCAACACCTCAGGTCCAAAACACAGGTGAGCAGACGTTCAGCTTTTATACTGACGATGGCTACAGACGCGTCCCAGAGACGCCGCTCTAGGACAGAGACTCCTCCCACTTTAGAGACATGAGGAGGAAGAGGATCTGTGCTGAAGGAACCAGAACCGAGAGTCCACGAGTAGAATCTGAATCCCTACCCTATGCTGAGGACTGCAGACCCTACAGGAACCCTGCTCACAGGAGGAGAACGGAGCTTCTAGAGAAAACCCGTTACACAAATCTGAGCCTTCAGCTGTTTTCACATTCATAAATCTGGAAATACGGCAGAAAGGTTTTTATGTGTATAAAAGCAAAAGGTGAATGTTTGGAACGTACTGAGAGCAGGTCGTTTAAACAGGCTACCAAGTTAAATGTCGTCAGGACGTCGTTCTAAAAAGTGTCTTTCATTGAGCCGGACCGAAATCACCTCAGAACGCCTCCTTCCAGGGTCTTTTTCTGTCCTGACAGAGCTGCAGAATGAGGCTTTAGATTATGGCCTTATTGATATCATCCCTGCTGGATCCAGATGTGAAGCTCCGCCAGATGTTTGGGCCGTCCCTCCTCCTCCTGGTAGTTTTGTCCCTGCAGTGAACTTTCTTCTTCTCTGCATTATATATATACTCTGTTTTAACCGCTCGTGGACACGCAGCTCGCCCACAGTTAATCCAATCCTTTTAAAGTAGTTCATACAAGCAATTATGGCCATGTGGGATAATGTCCCACTTAATCTTAAAGTGGGGGGTGATTATCTCCCCGTTTATTCCTCAGGCTGAAGTGTTTTCTCCTTCCCTCTGAGTGGGATCAGCTCGTTACGCCGCTCGCCCGTAAATGCCTCTTAATGATGACTGAATGAACTTCTTATCCCGTCAGCCACTAATGGACGGATTCCTCTGCCGTCCTTTCAGGAGTCGAACCGGCTTGCAGCGGTTATCGCTCAGATGTTTCGCCGTTCTTGGCAGGGATGCTTATCCCCGGCCGAGATTACCCTCGGCCGTCCTGAGTGGAGGCGACTCGTTGCTAATGCAGATCTCTGAGCGGTTAGCTGGGGGTGCTAAGTGCCGGTGTTTAGCGTCCAAAAGCCAAGTCTCTCTGTTTGTTTTGTTTGAAAATGGCTTCTTAGCGTTTTATAGTAAAGCTCCTATGATACAGTTTCTATCAAGCCCTTTAATCATCCACTCCTGCTTGCGGACCAGGTCAGAGGTCTCCGGTAAAAGGCACTAATGCATGCAGCCGAGAGCAAATGTTCAGCCACGGACTCTAATGTGGACTTTGAGCTGCCCTGAATGAGCCGCAGCGTAACGCACTTTACGTCTTTAATAAATGTCTCTTTATGCTGCTTTATCAGCCGTCTCTGTGTAGATCAGTTAGAGGGCGACTCGTGTGACGCTGATCAGTCCAACGACCTGGACCTGTGAAATGGTGCTAATTAAAATCCTTGCTTCTTGTGCTGGATAATGAACTCTGATACATGCTTACATATGATACACACTCTGTGTACTGTGTATATTGTGCTGTAGTACCTTGTATATATTGTACTGTAGTACCTTGTATATATTGTGCTGTAGTACCTTGTATATATTGTACTGTAGTACCTTGTATATATTGTGCTGTAGTACCTTGTATATATTGTACTGTAGTACCTTGTATATTGTACTTAGTACCTTGTATATATTGTGCTGTAGTACCTTGTATATATTGTACTGTAGTACCTTGTATATATTGTACTGTAGCACCTTGTATATATTGTGTGCTGTAGCACCTTGTATATATTGTGCTGTAGTACCTTGTATATATTGTGCTGTAGTACCTTGTATATATTGTACTGTAGCACCTTGTATATTGTGCTGTAGCACCTTGTATATATGTACGTAGTACCTTGTATATATTGTACTGTAGTACCTTGTATATATTGTACTGTAGCACCTTGTATATTGTGCTGTAGTACCTTGTATATATTGTGCTGTAGTACCTTGTATATATTGTGCTGTAGCACCTTGTATATATTGTACTGTAGTACCTTGTATATATTGTACTGTAGCACCTTGTATATATTGTGCTGTAGTACCTTGTATATTGTGTGCTGTAGTACCTGTATATATTGTGCTGTAGTACCTTGTATATTGTACTGTAGCACCTTGTATATTGTACTGTAGCACCTAGTTGATTGAGCTCTGGTCTTTTCCATCAGGGATTTCTGCCTGGATCACCGTCAACTTCCTCACTGGTGAGAATTCAACACACACTCACTACCAGAACAAACCAGAAGTCTGATGTCAGCAGAGACATTTGAGTTCTTGGTGCTCCTTGGAAGGTCTCTGTAAGTTGTCCAAGTCAGGGCAGAAATTTTGAAATGAATCCCAGTCTGTGCAACTGACTTTCACCCAGGAGGAGACTGGTGTTGGTTTCAGGTGTAAAACAAAAAGTCAACATTTATTATTTTTAGTGAGGTTAATGTCAGTAATGTAGTTATTGTAACTCTTTCCTGAACCTAACCACATAGCTTTGGTGCCTCACCTTGAACAAACAGCGACATTTCACAACAACCAGTAGTTTCAATCATTTTGGAAGTTTAAACGGACGTTGCGTATTTATTCTTGGTAACTTGACTGTGGAGCCCTACATGTCCAAAAGCGACGCTAGAGGGGACCCGGGGCGTAATAACGGGACACTAGAGGGGACCCGGGGCGTAATAACGCGACGCTAGAGGGGACCCGGGGCGTAATAACGGGACACTAGAGGGGACCCGGGGCGTAATAACGGGACACTAGAGGGGACCCGGGGCGTAATAAAGCGACGCTAGAGGGGACCCGGGGCGTAATAACGGGACACTAGAGGGGACCCGGGGCGTAATAAAGCGACGCTAGAGGGGACCCGGGGCGTAATAAAGCGACGCTAGAGGGGACCCGGGGCGTAATAACGGGACACTAGAGGGGACCCGGGGCGTAATAACGGGACACTAGAGTCCAACATGCAGGACCCACCAGGTTTAAAGTGCAGTTTGGGGGTTCAGGTTGGGCATGTAGGTGTCAGTGAGACGCAGGAACAAACGTTTGATTAATGTGGAACAGAAATAGTGATTACCTGTTATTGGATTATAGTGCAGCTCTCTCTCTCTCTCTCTCTTCCCCCAGGTGATCTTCACAGTGCTGACTCGCCCACGGTGGGGATGCTGGATTTGGGGGGCGGGTCTACTCAGATCACCTTCAGCCCTCAGGACGAGGTGAGGACGACACAGAGAGAGAGAGAGAGAGAGAGAGAGAGAGAGAGAGAGAGAGAGAGAGAGAGAGAGAGAGAGAGAGAGAGAGAGAGAGAGGAGAGAGAGAGAGGAGAGAGAGAGAGAGAGAGAGAGAGGAGAGAGACGACCCCCCCCCCTCAGTCAGAGTGAAGGCGACTCTGTCAAACTACCAAGATGGCGCTCCATTTTAGAGGCTTTAATCTGTAAATGCCTCGCTAATCCTAAATAAACACCCTCACACATGGGGGGGGTAGAAAGGAAGAAAGGGAGGCTGCTTGTTATGTAGGTCAGGGTTTGTACACGAAGGATTGGAGAGCAGTTCACCAGCAGTCATCACTCAGACGGTCAGGTCACCGCACGCCGCTGCAGTAATAACACTGATGATGATGATAAATCAGGTGTCCGTGAGGAAGACCTGACGAGACGGTGAAGGTGTTTGACTCTCTGCTCTCTGTGCAGAAGACCATCCAGACCTCACCCATCGACTACATCAGGTCCTTCCGGATGTTCAACGTCACACACACTGTGTACACCCACAGGTACGCCCCCCCCCCCCCGTGTCTAATGAACCGCCTTTAACCTGATCTCTGCCGGTCTCCATGGTAACCCGCTCCCTCCTGTCTGCAGCTATCTGGGACTGGGTCTGATGTCGGCTCGACTCGCCGTCTTAGGAGGCGTCGACGCTTCGCCCTGTACGTTCCTTACTCGTTTTCCTTCCTGTTTTTCAGCCCCCCCTCCAGATAAATAAGCCATTATCTAATCTTTTAATAACAGCGAGATTAATGCCTCGCCTGCTGCCAGCTGTTGCTGCGATTTAGCTGCTGTAAGAAGCTGCACACAGACCCGCCCTGCTGCCTGCGCATGGCCAGAGCGTGGACAAAATAAGGGGAACACCATTAGCCTCTTTAATACAGCAGCTCCCTCTGTGTGTCTGTGTGAGCAGTGGGGGGCAGCACTGAGCTGGTCAGCCCCTGCCTCGCTCCGGAGTACTCGGGCAGGTGGGAGCACGTCGACGTCGTCTACACTGTGAAGGGACAGAAGGCAGGTACGGTGCGCGCGGTGATTTGGTCGGTTGGTTTACCCATCATGCAGCGGGAGCGTGTAGGAACCTTGCGGCTGTGTGTGTTTCAGGGGAGCCGGTTTACGAGGCGTGTCTGAACAAAGTGGAGAAGGTTCTGTACAGGAAGGTGGTGAGAGCGTCCGAAGCGGCAGACGTGGAGTTCTACGCCTTCTCCTACTACTACGACCGGGCCGTCGACCTCGGCGCCATCGGTAGGAAGCTAATGCTAATGCTAACACCTGTTTCCTCAGAAACTCTGGTCACATTTCTACACAGGAGCAGCTCAGAAAAATCATTTTTTCCCAGTAATTTAATTCAAAAAGTGAAACTTTTATATTTTCTGCAGTCATGAAATATTTTTAGTTTAATCTTGATGATTTCAGCTCATGGAAATATTGAAATAAATGCTGATTTGAGAACAGCCTTTAGTGAAATTTATTCTCATTCATCAAGTTTAAATAAAAAAAGGTTGAATTTTTTACTTTAGATGTAAAGAATCTAAAATATAATAAAGTTTCACTTTTTGACTTGAAAATGAGATGCTCCTGTGTTTCACGTGTCGAACATGTCGGACTTCCTGTTTCTCTGCTGTGGGATTGAACCGTTAACGTCAGATGTTTTCTGTGTTCAGAGGAGAAGGACGGAGGAACCATCCGGGTGTCCGATTACACTGAGGCAGCAAAGAGAGGTGAGGCGGCGCCCTCCGGCTGTCAGCGCTCTGAACTGCACGTTGCACTCAGAGCTGAAGCTGTTTTCATTAATCATCTTTAGATCTTTCATTTACTTTTTATTCAAACCTCCCTGATAAATAAGATAAGGTGATATTTCATTAAAAATCTTATTTTCAGTTAATTATTTTAGTTTTATCTAATTTAATGAAAACTATGAAGTTTGATTGTTTTAATCATCTTAAATTCAAACTGTGGCTCTTTTTTACTGTTTACATCCAAACAGCTGATACATCTAGTGTTTTTCTTTCTGATTTTAAACGCTGCTGTCGAGGTGGAGCTACTTTGATCTGATAGGTGTATATATAAATACACAGGTGCATGTTAGAATTAGAATATTGTGAAAAAGTTCATTTTCCCCGTAATTTAATTCAAAAAGTGAATTTTTGAAAATATTCTAGCTTCATTAGACACAGAGTGAAATATTTCAGGCCTTTTTTGTTTTGATCTTGATGATCACAGTTTACAGAAATCAAAAATCTCAAAATATTAGAATAATGAATGTTTAATGCAGAGATGTCGACCTTCTGAAAAGGTTCATTTATGCTCTCAGCACTTGGTCGGGGCTCCTTGTGCATTAGTTCCTGCATCAGTGCAGCCTGCGGAGCTGCTGAGGTGCTATGGAGGCCCAGGTTCTTCGGTAGCGGCCTTCAGCTCGACTGTATTGTTGGTCTCTCGCTGTCCCCTTGACCTGAACCCCATAGATCCTCTTTTTATCCTTTATTTATTCAGGGAGCTTCACTGAGGAAGCCCTGATCACAATCACACCTGGAAGTTGCCCAGTACAACCAAAACCATCTAGCTGCAGCTTCAGCTAGATGGTTGCAACAGAACCCGGGACTGCAGTTCTTTTGCGACAGCGCCATCTAGTGGACTGGTGGTGGTAATGCGCAGCAGCAGGAAAGAAGTTAACCCTGTCTGCTGTCAGCTGTAGGGTTAACCGGTCGACATTCATATAATCGGTAACTTTGGTTTAGGCCATAGACAGTAACATCACTTCCTGTTTAAAGAGGTCACCTGATGTGTTGCAGTCTGCAGCGGCCTCTCCGTCAGTCCTCCACAGAGTCCCTTCCTCTGTCTGGACCTGGTCTACATCTCAGTCCTGCTGCAGGAGCTCGGATTCCCCCCCCACAAACAGCTGAAGGTGAGTAACGGTCTGGGCCACGCTGACCCCCTGTGTTTGAATCCGGGTCTGACCTGTTGTTTGTTTGTGTGTCAGCTGGCGAGGACGATCCACCAGGTGGAAACCAGCTGGGCTCTGGGGGCAACCTTTCATTACATCGAGTCCCTCAAGAGACACTGAAGCTTTTATTGTGAAAAACCAGAGATCCTGGACCTCCTGAAGACCTCATGCGGCCCCCAAAGCCTCCCTGTGACAGACCGGAAACCCTCCATAAACACTAAGCAGACTCTGCATTAAACCAGTTTAGCAGAAATGAAAACGTTTTCACCTCCTTTAATCTTTGAGTGTTCGGTTATATGTTGAACCTGTTGTTGGATTTTATTATTCTATGTTGTGTCAGCGTGTGTTTGTTTGAGTCCTTTATATTGACAGTAAATCTGGATTCAGACATGTTTTAACTTTTATTGACCCGAGGTCAGGGGCGACACTCCAGTCTGCTCCCCCGTCCCAGTGAAACCAGTAAACCAGGACGGGGTTCACGTCTCCGACCTCACCACGTTAGACTTGACCTGTTTGTACGACAGCGCTCTGATTGTTTTCTGCTCTGAAGGATCTCCTGTTGAGTTTGGGTCGATTCAAACGTCTCAACTTTAATAATAATAAAATCTATAGAAGCTGTAAAACGTTTTCAGGCAAACTGTAAAAAGGTTGTGATAACAGAATGTATTTTTGTCTGATTATTTTACACCTGCTACCTAAAACTATCTTTCTTGTGCATTTTAACTTTGTTCAAGAAAATAAACTATTTTGATTATTTACAGTCGATACGTCTTTACTAGTAAATTGTCTTGCTGCTTGTCCGTTACTGTTTATACTGAAATCAATGATTATTTTACAACTGAATACATTTGACGTGAATTCCAGCTGCTGAGTTATGCTAAGCTACTTAGCTTCAGCAGGAGTTTAGCTGGGTTTGTATTCTCCATCGTGAGTCCCGATTGAACTTGTCAAGCGACGCCTCAGGCCTTTAAAATGGCTATTTTTTTATCTAGCAGTGAGTTCAGCAGCAGCTTCCAGTGCAGTTATGGTGTGTTTCAGGCAACTCGGAAATTTCCAACCATTTCTAGAAAAGTACCATGAACAGAACTTTACGACCCACTTGTGACAAAATACGAGAAGCAGCAGAATGACGTCACATAAACGGATCTTCACCTGTATGTAATCAGAATAAAAAGCTCAGATAGTAAAATCACTGATGTCGTAGTATCAGAATCTGAAATACTTCATTGATCCCTGAGGAGAAATTCTGTAATGTTCAGTGAAACACGCTGGCAGAGTTACTTCAGCTGTGTGCACAAGTCAAGAACCATTATGCACCTGGAAGGGTGGAGCAGTGGATAAGACACATGCCTTGGTGTGAGACCTGTGTTTGATTCCCACTGTGACACATCCATCAACGTGTCCCTGAGCAAGACACTTAACCGCTCGTTGCTCCAGAGACGTGCGACCAGATGTAGCAGCTGCAAGTTGTTTTGGGTAAAGCTACATGAATAATTATTATTGGACAGCTTTAGCGTCGTGAGTTGCGAGGCGTCTGGAACGCAGCATATCTGCTGACTTTAAAGGTTTTCGTTGGTGAAGCATGTCAGGAGGTCAGACTGCAGTCAGGTTCTGAAGATGAGATGCAGCTGCAAGCTTGGAAAATGTTCATGAAGCTCGTGCAAATATGTTTTTGTCCAACTGTCATTTCCAAGAAATCAACCCTCGTCGTTAAGGTCGCCAGTTCCAGTTGTTTTGTACCGTCGATGCTTCCACCTGCTCCCTTTCTGACGAGTCTGATTAAAGTCTTCTGGACTCATTCACAGCTTCACTTCGGTCTCAGAGATGAATATTTATAACTTGGTGGATGATTGAAGCTTCATGATGAGGCGGGAAAAATCCACGATGCGGAAACCAGAGTGGCTGGACAGAGAAATGAAATCTGACCTGTCAGGTTCACCTGGGACAACATGGGCGAGTTCAATCTCAAAACGGCTTCGAGGTATGTTTTCTCCCGTTTGGTGGGCGTGTCACAGGTGCAGTGTTAAAAAAAAAAAGAAAAATCAGCACGCTTGCGCACACAGCGATGTGTTCAAGGCACCACCGTTTCTGTTGAAATAAGGGTTTTGCTACATTTTGTAGGTGCTTAACTTGTAAACATGCCTCAAGGCACTGAACACACCGTCTGCAGCCAAACAGTTCAGACACAAAACTTTTATTCATGTGAACTTTCCCCAACAAACAAGCTCAGATCAGATAAATGAACACGTGTCAGGTCGCTGTGATGTCGCAGCCGACCAGGAAGTAGGCTAATGGATTCACCTGAAAACGTTCACAGCAGCAGCAGAGAAGCTTTGAGCCGAACACACAGTTGTCAGATGTGACAGCAGCTTCGGAAGCAGGAAGAGAGCGAACAGTGGGAGGAACAGGAAGAGGCGGGTCTCAGGTGAGGAGGCGGAGTCTCAGAGGAAGGCGTCGCACCACTCCTTCAGACACTGAGCGCAGGACCCGGCCTGACGGGAGTTTGCTCCGCTGGCGTCTTTCAGCCACTCGGTGAACATCTCTGTGTCTTTCTTCAGCAGCAGGAACTGACCCAGAACCACGTAGGCCTGAAACACAGAGGTCAAAGGTCAGCTTCTCGTTCACAGACCTCTGCAGACGTCCTGGTTTCATTTCAGGAGTGTGTGGTTTAAACTGCCTGCAGTGATTCACCCATTCCACACTTTATCAATTTCAAAGGGTTCAAAATGCTGCTGACAGACTAAACTGCAACAAAGAAAAGACAACAGAACTGAAATTTATATTTACTCATTCGGCAGACGCTTTTTAGCCAAAGTGACATTTGCCAATACAGTAAGAGATCTACTGATCACAGTAGACACTACTAAGAGCTGTTCGTACAGCATCAGTGGGGAAAATACGTAGAGGAAGAAGTAACAGTTAACAAATAGGAGTGTTGTAAGGAGCCAGAAGAAGAGCACAGGAAGTGCATGTCAGAGGTCAGAGGTGTTGTTCTCTGCAGAGTTTTCAGGAGCTTCTTGAAGTTAGAGAGGGACGCCCCTGCTCTGATGGCGTGTGGTAGCTCGTTCCACCATCGTGGTGTCACAGATGAGAACAGGGACTGAGATCGCTTTGTGTGAAGGGATGGCAGAGCCAGGCGGCGTTCGCTGGAGGAGCGTAGCGGCCGAGAAGGAACGTAAGTTTGGATTATGGACCCAGCAGTCTCTCTGTATGCAGCATCAGGGACTTGAGTTTGATTCTGGAGGCCCCAGGGAGCCAGTGGAGTCCTTTTGGGCTGATCAGAAACCAGACGCGCTGCTGCGTTCTGAACCATTTATAGGGGTTTCACCGCACAAGTCCTTATAGGCAAGTCCTGCCGCTCGGCAGCCATCTCGGCAACACCTCCGGGCAGCTACTTCGGACTGACAAGACCGGGCTCCTATCTGACTGAATGGGGAGAGAGCCAGGACTTTCACCAGGACATAAACACTACATGAATACAATCAGCAGGAAAATCTGTTAAAAATCGCTGAAAGAGTTTGTTACGTCCCCGCTGTCTAGGGGTAGGAGAGACGTAAACATAAACCAGATGAATTTGGTATGGGTGGAAAGATTATTTATTAAGCAGTCGGATACACACAAAATAGTCAAACAGAAAATGGGCAAGTGGGTGCTGCGTAAAACAAAGAACCAAATATAACAAAAAGAGATCCCTCCTACGTGGGGGATTACTAAACTACTTGAAAAAAGATAAACAAAAACCTCTCTAGCCGTTGCTCAGAAGTGGAAAAAACACAGGGAGCGCAGCACCCCTAAACCTAGTGTCACTAAACAAATATTTAACTACCAGGTGTGGGTAATCAGTGAACGAGCTTTCCCTAGCCCAAGTCTGTAGACCAGCCCAGGTGAGTTACCAACTCTCAGTAACACACAGATCTCACAAACACAGAAGCTGTTTCCACTGAGGATACAGGCTCACACAGAGTTCAAGGTTAGGACCAGCGTCAGGGCAAACCACATGGCAAAAGGTAGCTGCCCCGAACCAGCAGCAGACGGGCGCATTGCACATACCAAAGGGCATGACGGTATACTGCAGGAAGTGATCGGGGGTAACAAACGCAGAAACATTGGAGGCACGCTCGGTCAACGGGACTTGCCAGTAGCCTTTTAACAGGTCCAATTTACTGACAACACGGGCATTTCCCAAATTGTCGACACAGTCCTCCATGCGGGGCAATGGGTATGAGTCGCGCACTGTGACAGAGTTAACCTTCCTGAAATCTGTGATAAAACGCGGTGAACCATCAGACTTCGCTTCAACTAAACAAGGGGAGCTCCATGGGCTTGAGCTGGGTACAGCTAAACCGTGTTGGAGGAGGTACTGGATTTCTCCCTTCATTAACTCACGCTTGTTTTGGTTAGCACGGTACGGGTGAACTTTAATGGGCCGGGGGTCTGTCAGCTCAACATCATGCTCAATAACATGAGTTCTGGTCGGGATGTCACAAAATAGACACAGGAATTGGTCAACTAGCTGCATTACGTCCTGTTGGGCTGCAGCAGGCAATATGTAATAATATGTAATAATGCTATAACTGGCTCGGCAGAGTTTGCAAGGCTTCGGTGTTGAGGAGCCGGGCGCTCGGATGCTCCGGATGACGCGGCCGCAGGTCATCAGGATCGGGCGCGGATGCAGGCTCTGTAACAATTACTGCCACAACAGCGGGGACGGGCGTAGCGGTTGACGAGGTGGACTCATTTCCCTTAACCGGAACTGTATCTCTGTCTCTAGCGTGGTATAGCTTCATCATATTTATATGACAGACCCGGGTTTTCTTCCTACTCTCGGGAGTACTAATCACATAATCCGTGTCACTTAGACGCTCACGGACTTCATAAGGTCCAGAAAACCTAGCAGAAAGGGACGAACCTGTAACAGGTAGTAGGGTTAATACCTTATCGCCTACATGAAAACGTCGGGACACCGTAGAACGATCGTAGCGGGCTTTCATCACTGCTTGTGACGCAGAGAGGAACTGCTTGGCGGTGGCATTAGCTTGATGCAAGCGTTCTCTGAACTGACTAACGTAGTCTAATACGTCGCGGGGGCACACACACTCACGAGACAGGAACTGATCATGCAGCACTTTAAGTGGCCCGCGGGGTGTGTGTGCAAACACGAGCTGTGCTGGACTAAACCCTAATGATTCTTGCACCGCATCACGAGCAGCAAACAGCACAAAGGTAGCTGCCCTGAACCAGCAGCAGACCAGCCTATTTGAGGGGGAAGGTACGAAGGCGGTCCTGCAGGCAGCTTGGCGATTGGAGAAGGGGTGGTGTGCCGCTCCAATCAGAATCGTCGGAGATGGGAGGCGGGATCAGCCAGGCT